AAGAAAGAAAGAAAGAAAGAAAGAAAGAAAGAAAGAAAGAAAGAAAGGAAAGAAAGATTAAATATGTGGAACACAGTCCATGAATGAAGTTGGAGTTGTGCAAGAAGAATTCTGAATGCTTTTGAAAAAAACTCCAAAAAAAAAAAAACAAGACAGAGGTCGCAAGTGGCCTCAGTTGTTGCAGGATGTTTAATCCCACAGTGATCCCCAATATTGTGAACTGTAAACCCTGTTTCTTTGGTGTGGTTGAGTCCTATCACACACCTTTAATCCAATAAAGTTTCTGTTTATTGTAAACTGGCGATTATGATGTGGTTCACCCAGCCCTAACACACACCTTTAAGCCAAGAGCTCTCTGTATACCAGACCTAATAAAGTTAACCATAGATCAAGAGGCAAAGCAAGAAACCAGCTGATAGAGATTAAAGAGTAGGAGGGACTTTGAGTTGAGGGGTATTTAAGGCAACATGGAGAAGAAGAAAGGGCTATTAGCTTAAGCTCTGGCTTTAGCTTAGGCTTCAGCTCCTCAGCTCCCTGGCTTTTTGGGGTTTGAGGTAGCAAGCCTTCGGCTTGGGGGTTTTTTGTTTGTTGGTTTGGTTTGGTTTGTCCTTTTGCTCCTGGGCTGTTAGCTGAGCTAGTGAGCCTTTTGGGTTTTTTCCATCCAGACCTGAGCTGAGAAGGAAGGCTAGCTGGTTACTTTCTCTGCCTCTCTGAGCTAGCAGGTTTTCACCCCAGCATCTGGCTCCCAAGTCTTTACTAGTAAAACAGAACAGTTGGGATTTTCCTTCATTAAAACAACACTCAGTTTCTTCAAAACATGAACATGGACTGGAATGTGCTTGTTCCTGGAATGTGCTTTCTTGTCCCTCCCAGGTGTAGCAGAGAGGAGTGAGTTTCCTTCAGCTTATTCATTACAGCTGGCTACTGTTATCTGTTTACAGGCCTCTATGGAAACACGTTCTGCACATGCAGCTTGTCCTTGTGATTGTCCACAGCTTGAACTCCTGAGAACTTTATTCATGTAACCTTTCTTGACTATGATGCTATGAAGAAAGTTGGTTGTTGCATGCGAGTTTAGTCTACCTCATTTTACGCTCCATGTTCCCAGGTCTAACTGCCCATTAGAGTGGTAAACAATGTGAATCCAAACAGAACTGTAAGTATTTAAAATTAGTTTAGCTAAAAACAAACCTCTCTATTTCTGTTGCGTTTTTCTAAGTATTTATAACTACACAAGCAGAATTTGTAACTACTTTCTCAGAGCTCTTCTGTGATAGGTAATAGAACTTAAATGAACTCAAGTTATCTGCAGTTAGATGTGATTACTTCATGTAGGGCCAAAAGGAACCAGGGGATCATTGAGACTCTGAGATTTCAATTCTATTGTCCTGTTCTCAGCCTATCTCCTCTAAGTGATGTTGGATCAGAGCAACTCACACCAAATTAGACCAAGGAATGATCATTAGAATAGAATGATCTCCTATTCTATATCCCTTCTGCCTTCTACCTTCATTTTACCATTAAGGTACAAGTAATCTGATATAGTTGGGTAGAATGCACAACTCACTGATGCTGCAAACAGTGACTGAGTCATTCTCTTGGTTTCTTCTGACAACAGACAAAATCTACACAGCTAACAAAAACAGGAAGCAATAATCTGCTGACTCTCAGAATACACCCATCCTTGCAGGCAATACAGGTTTATAGGGAAGAAACTAAGCATAAATATACCTGCTAAACTTCACACCATCCAAAACTCTTAGATTTTGGGGGGATAATATAGGGAGTGGTTACTTCAGTTGTTTGGTCTTTGGTGTTTTGCTTCACCTTGCCATTTGATAATAATAGTACAAAAATTAAGAAGGTTAAAATCTGGCTGCTAAAGCCAGTGTGATGGCTCATGCCTTTAATCCCATTACTTGGGAGGCAAAAGAAGTGGATCTCTATAAATTCAAGGCTAGCCTGGTCTACAAATAGAGTTCCAGGACAGCCAGAGTTACTCTAAACAGAAAAACCCTGTCACAAAAAAAGAAAAAATCTGGCTGCTATTCTAAAAGCTGTACATTCAATTCCCACCATCCAGCATCTACATGGTAGCTCACATCTGTCTGTAACTCCAGTCCTAATATATCTGATAACCTCTTCTGGCCTTCATAGGCACCAGGTACACAGGTAGAACAGACATACATGCAAGCATAAATATAAATAAATAAATAGAAATTTAAGAGATTAAAATAATAGCATTGTATTTCTGCACAGAATGATCAGTGAAAATCAGCCAATATATAATTTTATTACTCTTTTAGAACCAATATTTAATCACATTATTCTTTTAGAACCTTTTATGTTAAGTACCAGTGATAAGTTCTATAACCCTTATCTTTTTTTTATTCTTCCCCGAGCCACATTTTACTCATTTATTTAGTTTATGACAATTTACACAGCCACTTAAAGCTGGAATATGAGTTGCATTCTCACATATGTTAAATCAGATTTGTAATGATTTAAAAAAAAATAAGTCTACCCATCCCTTGTATTCACAGAAGACTGACTATAAAATCTCTGTGTATACTAAAACCCACAGATGCTCAGGTTCACCATATAAACTGATGCAGAATTTAAATAGAACTTAGAGGCAACTTCCCTTATACTTGCAATCATGTCTTGATTACATATAATAGAAAATACAATACTTATGCAGTGTGAATCTTACTGTTCCATTATGAAAATAAAGCCTGTGGTTATTTAGCACAGATGCAATTCCTTTGCAAACATTTCAGTCTACAGTGGTATAACCCTTATCTTAAGTCATTAAAAATAGTAACACTGGGGCTAGAGAAATGGCTTCACGAGTAAGAGCACTGCTAACCTCTACGTGAACCCAAGTCTGAATCTCAACTCCTACATGTTTCTGGCTCACAACCATCTGTAGCCCCAGTCCCTGGGCACCTGATGCCCTCTCCTGGTTTTCACAGGCGCTGCATACTTATGATGAACATGCAGACAAACATGTAGGTAAAATGCTCACACACATAAAAATAAAATAAAAATTTAAATGTTAATACTAATAAATTAAACATAGCTTTAATTATCTTTGAAGAGAGGGTACATTTTTCCTTGTTTAAACAGTTAGATTATTGAAGTTAGAATTAAGAAAAATGAAAAATTCTTCACAATTTTTTGACTAATAAAACTATAAATAATAAACAAAAAAGGAAAGAAAAAATCTTTCCCCACATTGTCTTTAACAATCTCATCATAAAGATAATTAACATTATATGATAAGTTGTCATTTTAAAAGCTTGCTAAGTTAATTAATTATCTTATATTATTATCTCATTGAAATAAACTATGATTAGAGAGGCTGTGGCAATGGCTCATTCAGTAAAGTACTTGTTGCACAAACAGGAGGACCTGAGTTCAGCCCCCAGTATCCACTTACAGAAGAGCTGGCTACATACAGGAGGATTCCTGGGCTTGCTTGCTAAATGATCTCGCCAAACTCAGAAGCTCTACTTCAGTGAATGACCCAAAACACAAGGTGAACAGTTACTGGAAAAGATACCTGCTCTCAACCTCTGCCCTAACCATGAGCTGCAGACATGTGTGCACACATACACATGTGCTTACACACAAAAACTTGAAAATTACTGCTTCTTTAACATTTGAACACTGATTACAAACTAAAATTTCTTTAGACAACAAAAACTACAAATTTAATAACATTAAATTTTTTACAACCTCAAACTTGTCAAGAAGGCATGCATATTCATATGGGTGCACACGCCTTTGGAGACTAGAGTTGACCAAGAGTGTCAGTCCTTAGGAGCCATCAACTTATTTTTGGGGTCCAGGAGCTCACCAAGTAGGTTAGGCTGCCTGGCCAGTGAGCCCCAAAGATCCACCTAAAGCCACCTCATTAGCACTGGGATTAAAAGCATGTGCTATTGTCTTCTATATGTACAGGTACTTTGCGTACATGTATGTCTATAGATCATGTACATGCTTGGAGCCTGAAGAGGCCAGAAGGTGTCAGATCCCCCTGAACTAGAGTTACAGATGGTTGCAAGACGCCACTGGGTGCTAAGAGTTGAACCTGAGTACTCTGGAAGAGCACAGTGCTGTTAACCACTGACTCACCTCTCCAGCCCCAAATTTAGCTTTTTTTACTGGGGATCAAACTCAGGTCCCCATATTTATACAACAAGCACTTTACCCACTGAGGTTAACAGCAAATGTCTTACGACATAGAGCACAACCAACTATAATAGTTACCTAACTTATCGGTTCTGCTCAACAAGGTTTGGAGCAATAATGTTAGGATGATTCACTCTTACTTGTTTGTTACTGGAACTTGTTAATATTAAAGTAATATTTATTTTGAACCCTTTTCACCACAGAATAAAGAAGAAAGTTCCTATCATTCCCAGTACCAAAGCCAAAGCCAAGACTTTGATGGTCGAGATTATAACATTGAAAGGCATCTAGATACCCACCCAAAAATGCCACCCATTACCCACCTTCTAGTGGCACAAGGTCCTGTGGCTAAAGAGTGTAAGTGTTACAGCTCTGAGGAGAACGGTATCCTGGCAGTTCAGAACCAAGGAATACCACGAAGTCACACTGCACAGCAAACCTCACACAAGACATTTATTGGGAAAGACACAAAAAAGTAGCTGCCATTCCTGAAGAGAAAAGGATACAAAGAACTGAGTAGGAGGCAGGCTTTATATAAGGTTTCTAGGAAAAGGGGGAGAGGCAAGGCTTTTCAGAGAGGCCTGGAACTGGCAGGATTCTGTGGCCTGATCTTGGAGAAAGCTCAAGGATTGGTGGGATTTTGAGCTCAGGGGTTGGTAGATGTCATAGTTAGGGTTACTACTGTTGTGAAGAGATTCCATGACCATAGCAATTCTTATTAAGAAAAACATTTCACTGGTCTTACAGTTTCAGAAGTTTAGTCCATTATTATCATGCCAGGAAGCACAGTAGCATGCAGGGAGACAAGGTGCTGGTGTAAAAAGAGTGCCACACCGGGCAAGGCTTGAGCTTCTGAGGTCTCAAAGCTCACCCTAGTGACACACCTCCAACAAAACCACCACACCTACTCCAACAAGGCCACACCTCCTAATAGTGCCACTTCTTATGGCCAAGCATTCATTCCTATTAAACTACCACAGTGGGAGTCTGCAGCCTGACCTTGAGGCAAACTCAGTAATTTGTGGGATTCTGTGGCCGGATCTTAGGGCAAATCAGGGATTGGTGGGATTTTGTGACCTGATCCTGAGCTTTTTTTTTTCCTCTGTAGGGCAGAGCTTGGCCACCTGTGTCTAGGGGTGCTGAAAAAGGCTGTTGGAGTACTCTGGGGATGTGGCCTGGCCACTTATGCCTTGAGAGGCTTACCCAATGGAAGCCTGAACTTCCTCAGAATAGTACTCCTAGAGAAAATAAACTTGGTTATTAAACTAGCAAGCTTTTTTTTTTTTTCTGATCACTTGTTCTGCCATGAAGACAGAAAGCAATACAACACGTTGTGTTCATTGTTGATTAAACAGGCCCTACAATATGGCTCTCAACCTTCCTAATGCCACAACAACCTTCGTGTTGTGGTAATTTGCAATCATAAAATTGTATTTTTGCATTGGGTTTGGTAGCACATGCCTGCAATCCCAGCACTCGGTGAGGCAGAGGGAGATGGATCCCTATGAGTTGGAGGCCAGCCTGGTCTAAAAAGTGAGTCTTAGGACACCTAAGGCTACACAGAGAAAACCCTGACTCAGAAAACAAAACAATAATAATAATAAATGAAATGTTTTGTTGCTTTATAACTGTAATTTTCTACTGTTATAAACTGTAAATATCCAATAGGCAGTATACCTGATATGCTACCCTATAAAAGTGTCACTCGACCCCATTGATGAGGACAAAGCCAATACCCTGGTTTAATGAGCTTGGTAACAAATGCACTTTAGGCATGTACAAATAGCTTAGTCAGGAACCCCACTAGACCCAAGGCTACACCTGATAACCAGAACCCAGTGACGTCACTCACTCAATATAACCAGACACAGTCCTAGAACCCCACGTTGCTCACTGGACAGTGTATAAGCAGAGACCAAGAGCAATGCTCTGCTCTGCACATCTGGAGAGATGCCACCTTGATCTGCACTGCAGCTGGACAGTCTCCCCCAGGATCCTGACCCTCAAATCAGGGACCTAACTTGGACCTGACCTTCAGCTAAAATTTGTGACGTAGGTGAGCAGCACTGGGGAGAAAGGCGTAGGACCATAGTTAGGAATTTAGAACCTTGTATGATGACACTCAGCATAATAAAATATAACCTTTGTTATACTAACTATGCCTATCTACCTTTTCAGTTATGACACCTGGTCAGGTCTGACACAGAGAACAAGATGTTTAGCTCTGGAACACTGTCAACAAATTAGGATCAACTATATTGAGTCTAGTTAGCTAATTCTGTTTTCTCATCATAAACATTAAATACTTTTCTTTTATACATCCAGGCTTTTAGAAATTATATCAAACACAAACAAATGTCTTCGACCAACTGTGCAACAGAATCTGGGTTCCTGCCTATCTCTTTTATTAGAGCATGGGAACCCCTAAAAGGATTCAAACCTGAATAACCCATTTTCTAGTTTGACTTATAATAGTTTGAACTTCAAAAGAATTTTTCTTTGTAACTTAACACTTTGTCACAGAATACCATCTATAAATTTTATTGGTTAGTGTTAGAAAAGTATCTCGTTATTATGTACTGACCTACTAATATTACTGTAAACTCACACCTTCTTTTAGCATGTGGTAAAATAATAAAGCAGGGTCATTGAAAGCTTTGACTTCCAATAGTAAAGGAATCTAGAATGAGCAAAGTCTCCTTAATTGGCTTTCAGTTATCTGTTACCTTAGGACATTGTTCAGTTTCATTTCTTACATGATTTTATGTGTTACCACTGGTGCTATGTAAGTGGTCTTTCCCTTTTTTTGGTATAATTCTTATTTTCTCCAAGACTGCCTGATTAACTCAGTTCTCCTTTCTCCACTTATAGTGACAAACAAAAATATATTAGACTTTATGAACAGATATATACTTAATAAAGAAAGAAAATGGGCTAAATTGTAGTTCAATGTTTGGTTAGCATATATGAAGCTCTGGATTCAATCCCTAAGCATTAAAAGATAAAAAAAAAAAACAAAAGAGAAACAGCGCATGTATTAACAGGTCCCTAATTTCAAGTCACAGAAATTTTAACGTGTCTGATTATAGTCACTTTTGTACTAAGGCAACCATTTGTACATTTATTTTTAAACTTTTATTAATTATTTATTTATTATAATTTATTCACTTTGTAATCTGGCTGTTGCACTCTAGAAAATATACTTCCGTGCAGAAAAAAAAAATACTGTTTTTTTTTTCTTCTTTTTTGCCTGCATTTAAGTTGTCACAGCTTGGCTAGTAGAAGCAAGAACAGATTACGCTTTTATTCTTTCAGCACTGCCCACAGACACTTTGAAAACAGTCCTTGCTTTCCAGGAATGACATGTCTTAGATGTATCTTGTTATCTTCATGCTTTAAGACAGAACAGTGACCCTGTATTTAGAATTCATACACTCACAGCATTCGGACATCATTCAATAAATGTTTATTAGAAACATTAAAAATAACATAGATTAAAAATTAGGTACTAGAGTGCATGTATGTATAGGTAATAGCAAAAATAGTAATATAAAGTAGAAGTTTATGAACCTTAACAGGCTTTTGATCATGTCCTTGCACCCATTTCTTATAACACAAGAACACTGACAACTATGCATATTTGCTCCGCTGTGAAACAGCAGGCAAAGTACCTACTCTGAGGATGTCACTAGCAAGATACCTCAATACTGAAGGGGAAAAAAAATGGCTAAATGGGTCTACGTGAGGCATGTATACATTTTAATAAGGTCATGAAGAGATAATTATTATTCTCAAATATAATTCTTCAAAACCAGAAGTGTAGAGTAGACATTTACAACAAGATATAGGGTACAACTGCCCTGTTTCTCCAGTCAGCAGCTGACACACAATTAAAGGTCAGCAACAACTTGACTTTATACTTAAAATACACCAGCCTATTGGAAAGAAATCACATCTAATGAGGTCTTGTACTTTTTTTTAAGTGTATTTATTGCACTGATGTTTTGACTGCATGCATGTCTGTGAGGGTGTCAGATCTTGAAGTTACAGACAGCTGTCAGCTGCCATGTGAATGCTGAGAATTGAACCTGGGTCCTCTGAAAGAGCAGTCAGTCTCCGAACTGCTGAGCCACCTCTCTAGCCCGATCTTCTCATAAAGAAAGATTCTTATGTATTGCTGCTCATGAAAGCATACCTTCAGTGTTTTGGTGGCTCCATGAAACTTCAGGGTGAGGAAATGACACAGTGAGTGCTGGTAATTCCTCTCTAGTTCTAAAAAATAAATTAACTAATTAATAAAAACATACTTTAAAATGGAAAGATCTCCTATGCTCAGGGCTCCACAGAGAAATCCTGTTTCAAAAAACAAAGCAACCAACCAACCAAACAAAAAACAAAACAGCTGACTGAAAAAAGCAATCAGATAGCTATTTTATTTCTTTGAAATAATTTACTGCATGCATGCATAAAGGCATTGTGCTGTTTGAAATAAAAAAAATCCTCTTGCTTCATGTGTTTTAACAATAGTTTTTAATATATTAGGCAGAGCTATTTAAATCCTTAGCAATAACAAATAGAGCATTTTCTCCTGTCCATAACCAAAAATGGTCAATAGAAGTTAGGCTGAAAATGTTGATTAAGCTCCTCAAAGAGAATGATAATTTCTGTGAGCCCAATAGGAAAGAATGCCAAATCTGAAAAGAATAAGCTAACTGAAAACAATATAAAACCACAGTTTAACAAAAGAACTTCCTTTTTTAATTCTGATAATATATTGAGAATTAAAACACAGTTTAAATACACAAAGGCATTTATTAGGAGAGCTAAGAGAGGTTCTACAACCCACTTCTATGGATCCAGAACAATGGCAAGAAGCCTCCTGCAAAGCACAGAACTGCTTGGGGATACTGAGCATGCATTGCTCTATCTTGGGAGCCAATAAACTCAAAAGAGAGCCTCCTGCTTCTGAATTATGACCTCAGCCTCAGCAATAACCACTCAAATGTCCATCTCAGGCAGAAACTAGATCTAGTGTGATGTCTCTCCTGTTTTGTTTTAAGGTTTTTTTTTTGACTGTAGTTTCTTGAGAAATTTTGAAACTACTGCATAGAGAATGAGGCTTTTAGTTGGTTGGTTGGTTTTTTGTTTTTAATTCAGAAAAACCATCACTGCCTTCCCAGTCAAGAAGTAATTTTTATTTACAATGAATAAGTGTCCTCCATCATGTAGTTGAATTAGATTGACTTTAGATTCTGAGCTATCTGATTTGAATGAGAATGAAAATGGGGAAATGATATGGTCCCTATGAGTCCCAGGAATTACACACAGTTTTTTTTTGGTTTTTTTTCTGAAAATGTTTTCTGGCTGCCCCAGTTCAGATCTTCAATCTGTGAGGACATCTTAGGTGTTTTGGGTTGCAGTGATCCTCCATATTCACCATCTTGTTTCAGTGTATTTCAATGACCACTTTTTCAGTTTGTTTCTGAAATACTGCTTTCTCTCATTTCTATATGGCTTTACATGTACTGTCCACTGGTGGGTGTGCCCATCTTCTCTTTGCTTCCCAAAATACAGGGCAATATTACCATAAACTGGGCTTATCGATGGTAACCCCCTGAGAAAAATGGAATCATCGTCTAGGCTTTCAGCTTGGCCCTGCCTTCACTCTCCAGCCTAGTCAAGCAGGCAGGGTCTCCACACGAGCCTGGGCGAGTGGTTCAGGCCGGAGGAAGGAGAGTTGCCTGGGCACGGAGCAGCCATCTCCTCCATACCCACCATGTCTGGGTCAGCCACTCAGCCCCGCAGTGTAAATACATTGTTTTTAATTTTGAAAAAATCTAGGGAAAGGAAGAGACAGTTTTGTAAAACTGAAGCTTCTGGCTGAAGTGGGCTGTGGTCAGTGCAGGGCCACGTTACTGTTCAAAGTGCTGGGAATAAGCCACTGTGAGGCAGATGGGGCATCTCTATTGCACCCCCACCTGAGGCTCCCACAATAGTGAACACTGGAATGCTATCCTCTGGATATAAAATGGCTGTTGCACACATGAACCGCAGCACCTGTGGTTACCCACACAAGACTTGCACAAGATCAAGCCAGTTTAAAATCTCGCATGGGCGGAGGAGGGCTCCTGAGATCTCAGCTCTGGTTGGGGAGTTATAGGCAACTGACTGGAAGGGAATCACTTTTCTTTAGGAGTGTCCATGCCCCTGCTCATGACTCACACACACGAGCAGCACTAACTGAACCCAGCAGGTTATTTTTTTTTTTAATTATAAACAGAAGACATTGAGAGGGAGATATAGGACTGAGGGGTGGATATGATCAAGACACACTGCATACATGCATGAAATTTTGATGGGATAAATATAAAACCTTGAGGTTTTTCCATTGGCAACAGTAATTATTAGTTGTTTTCTTGAAGTTACCAGTCTACTTTATTCCTTTTTAAGATGTTTATTTTTAATTAAGTGTGTGAACTTGTGTACACATGAGTGCTGATCCCTACAAAGGGCAGAGAAGTCGGATCTCTAGACCTGTTTTTACAGGCAGTCATGGACAACCCAACACAGGTGCTAGGAACTGAGTGTGGGTTCTCTGCAAAAGCAGTATGCACACTTAACCACTGAGCCATCTAACCAATTGTGAGCCACCATATGGTTGCTGGAATCGAACTCAGGACCTCTGGAAGAACAGCAAGTGTTCTTAATCTGAGCCATCTCTCCAACCCTTCAATTGTGAATAACTAGTGTGTCAATTATACTTTTGGGCCTTTTTAAGTGGGTTTTATGATGTTCATAACTAAAGCAAGTGTACTTGTGTCTTTCTTGTGACTAATTCACATTGCACAGAAGTGCTTCAAATCTACTGCAAGTTTCACCACACTGAATACTGAAAAGGTATACATTTAAAAATAGACACTTCGTAAAAACCAGCAACTTTTTAATTTTATCAAACACATTCTTAAGTAAAATTAGCATCATTCCTTTTTACATTTAGCGCATTTAGCGCATGCTAAGACCATTAAGCATTTTACTTACCATTGCTTGGCATTATTGGTGCAAATGTAAACCCCACAGAAAGAGGCAAATAATGTTAGTATTATTAAGAAAACAGTTTTCCCAGGCCACAGAAAAGAATCTCAGGAACTACCCAGAGAGTCCACATGCTGTATTTTGAGAACTACTGTTTTTAAGGAAAAGAGAGAATATTGTTTCATTACAGCAAAGACTCTAAAATTCTTCCTTTAAGCTATGATGTCAGTTCATTTTTTAAATAACATTAGCAGACAGACTGAAGTTACTTTAATCTAATTCTAGCATCACATGAAATTAAATTTATCTTGAATGCTTATAAAACAATCTATATTTACGCCACTAACATTCCACAATATATACTTTTAAAAGTCTTATAAAAACACTAAGCTGTGAAAATAGTAACAAAATAAATACCCTATAATATAAGGAAGCCCAAAATCATTATACTTAACTGTAACAGAACTTGATTTTGTGTTGTTTCATCTGGAAGATCCTAAGGAGGGAAAACAAAGTTTTTGTCAAACTGAGAAATTATAATTTAATGAAACAAACCAAAAACATAACACTTCTGAAAATGCTTACATTAGTGTTTAGCTTTTTAAATTTTTTTCTCTTTCAACATTATAATATAGTTACAACATTGCCCCCTTACCTTTCCTCCCTTTAAACTCTCCCTTATACCCCTCTTGCTCTTTTAAATTGACGGTCTCTTCTCTTTTTTATTGTTGCTAGATATGCAGGTGTGTGTGTGTGTGTGTGTGTGTGTGTGTGTGTGTGTGTGTGTGTGT